CCCCAAAACCCCAAAACCCCAAAACCCCAAAACCCCAAAATACTCTCCCAAATAATCTTCTAAATCTCCTTAACCACAATTTTCTTCTTCAGACTAGTCGAGAGGGCCCTTCGGCCAAACCTTGTGTTTGGCTTAAAGGCCTTCACCTTGCGCTGCCCCATGCTTGTGAAGGGAGAAGCAGCAGCTGTCCTAGGTGAGGGGTTCAAGCTATGAGCTTGGTATTGCCTGTGGCTGCTCTTGGATTGGAAGTGGGTTCTGTTTGAGCGAAGCATGTTGTCTCCAGTGAAAGTGAAGCTTTGGTAGAATTTTTCTGACTTTTTCTTACGGGTTTGAAAGTTTGAGTGGAGTTTGAGGGATTTTAGGTTCTTAGTGTAGTCTTTGAAGGGGTACAGCTCGACTCGGTTGAAGTTTAGCTTAGTAGAGATGTCTTTGAGGAGCTTGGGGTCTTTGATTATGGTTTTAGGCCATTGCTAAAGATAGTTGGTTTTCGGGAGTTTTAGTGAGAGTTTTAATTGAACGAGGGTTTGGAAGGGTCAGAGAGGTTATTGATGTGAAATATGAGGTTAGAATTAAAATTGGGTTAAGATAAGAATAATTACGATTTCTAGAATTTTTGGAAATTATTTGAATAAATAAACATTTATATTAAAAATTTTGATGAAATCTTACTTAATTCCTTTTTCAAAATTTCTTGATAATCATCTTGGCGTTGACTGATCAACTTATTCAGATTAAATTCATAAGAGGTGTGCTTATTTATATGTATTTGAATCAGATTTTAACATCTCTATTTCTTTCTCAAACTTTCTAATTTTTAAAACGTAGTCTCTCTCGAGTACATTTATCTTAGCTTCATATGATTCAATAGCACTTTTATTCTCTCGCTCAAGAGAGTTTATTTTTAGGAGGCATTTCTTCCATTTTTCAATAATGCTTTCACATTCCCCTTTCATGATCGTCAGTTCAGACTCGAGTTGGCTGACATGTAGCTTCAACATCTTATTCTCCTTCTGTATCAGTGTCAGCCTTTTCTTAGGAACAGGAATGATTATAGGATTTGAGCTTGGCTTTTCAAAAGATGGCTGGTAAAAATCACTCAAAGAGAAGTTATTATGTATATCCTTCTTTATCTTTATTTGAAAATTGGTCATTATCATATCTTGGTAGCAAATCAGGCCTACTAATTTGTTAACAATATCGTCTTTTGAAGTAGACTCCAAATTAGCTGTCTGAACAGACTTCCTAAGATGCTCAAGCTCGTTTTTATAAACCTGATCTATCCGTTGCATTTTGCGATGAAAACCTGTATGAGTTTCTTCTCTGATCCTATTCTCCATCTCTATACGGTCTCTTTCTGCATATTCTCTGATATGATTCAGTTTGTCTTCAAGTACAGTTCTCTTCTGTTTCTCTTCTTTAACCATAGCTTCTGCTTGCTGAACTTGCTTTTGAAGCATCCTGTTCTCTTGAATCTTCTTTTTGTATCTGAGCTGCTCATCTGTATATTTCTTTTGTTTTGAGATCGGACTAGATACATCATTTCCGCCCTGCACAGACTTTGTAGTGGCCACAACGTATGGATCAAGGTACCCAACTGTAGAGGTAATATCTTCCCATATGTCATGTAAGTCACTACTTGAGAAGATACTCTCTTGGCTTGATTCTTTTTCAAATGATATTTTCTTAGACATTTTATTTTATTTTTCTTTAAGCTTTCTTTTTCTCAACCTAATTTTTACAATATGGGGTTTTGGGGTTTTGGGGTTTTGGGG